TTCAAGCTGCTGACCCCACGGTTTATTCGGCACAATAAACACAAAAGTACGACTGCAATGAAACATAAACATAAATCCATGGATGCATCCTTGAGACGTTGAATATAAATGTGGTTGGAGGTAGAAGAAAAGGAAACGGGAAGAGGAGGGAAGGAAGAAAGAGGGAATATGGGTGAGAACCTTTAGAACCCACCTGTCAACAGAAAACAGAGACCATAGGGATATAGCTGTTCTGTGTGATGAGGTGAGGTATTGTCTCAGAAGATAAAGATTCCCAAATGAACTAGATACAGAGTCAATAATGACTATGGAGCCTGACTAGCTACTCAAATGAGAAAGGAAGCTATAGCAGATGCCTTCCAGCACATGGATCACATGGATGCGAAATGCCAAATATCCATATAGTGGAGGAAGAGTCATTTCCTGTGTGAAAGCCCTAAGGATTTACAGTCCAGACCCACATACCTGTCAACACAATATAGCAGTCAACCCTTAATTACAACCATTTTGGCTCAGTCTCAAATATTTCCTTCTATTTTATGTTTGTAAAACATCTGCTATTATGGGCACTCATATTGCAGTCAATTTTGCTTGTTATCACCCATTTCCCAGTCCCAAGTGGTCTCTTTGAACTCAGTATTGTGGCCACCCAGGCCAGCTCTCACCTGCTGCTGCCTAACTGAGACCTGTCAAAGTGAGGCCACTACCGTACATAAACTGATAGTGGCCACGTCTTGTACGTGTTACAAACCAGGTGACGTTGATGTTCCCTATTAATGGCACACTAATCCTACCTAATGCTTCACAACTCATGCTACACTGATGATCACACAATCACACATACACGATCAAACAAACAGTATGTTTTCACGCTCGTTTAAACTTTGTCATTTGTAACACTTCTAGTTCGGTGTCTGTTTTCTTTTGAACACAAGATTTGTTCAAAGGGGAAAATTTACACATTAATTTCAAGTTATGTCACTTTTCCTTTCATTTTGCAATAAATAGGGCTCTTCTTTCTCAGCCAAATCAATTGTCTCTGTTCTATTGAACAAAGGGGAAAATTTACACATTAATTTCAAGTTATGTCACTTTTCCTTTCATTTAGCAATAAATAGAGCTCTTCTTTCTCAGCCAAATCAATTGTCTCTGTTCTAATGATGGAAATGGCAGAAAGTTGTTGTTTCATGATTTGAGAATCATTTCCGCTAGGTATTACCACACGTGCACATAAACAACAGCACCATGCCTTGGCCTCAGATAGTGTGGTGCAAGGAAAAGTCATGAAGCTCATCATTGTCCTAAATTTTGCATTTATCTGTTAATCAAAAATAAAGTATACAATTTTATTTTTTAGACAAGAAATTCCAAAATAGGTATGTAAAGATGTTATTACAGCATTGTGTATCAAACAGGAACATAGAAAGGTGAGTATTATGGACGAGCTGGACTGTACTTGCAAGTAGTAATAGTATTATCATCATTTTTGTTTATTTATTTTTCTAATGTTTTTTAGTAGGTCTGTTATGTCTGTGGTATGTAGACTTTGGTCATTTTCATACTAATGATACTGAAATTAATTATCAAAAACAATTAATTATCAATGATGATGAGGAATATTTCTGTCAAAAAATCCATACAACATACACATTTCAAAATCTCATAGTTCAATTAAGATAAGAAATCAAATGCAAGAGTTCAACATGTAAAGATTTAAAGCTAAAATTACATTAGTTGACCTGCTGAGTATGAGAAAGAATAGTTTATCTACTAACTATTCAATCTAAATGGTCATATTTAACTCTTCAAGTGCAATGTTTCAGGGATGAGAACAACAAATGAAACTTTTGGCTGGTCCTAGGTTCTAGCAAATAATAACTGGGAGTAGTTCCTGGAAGACAAAGAGGTTATGTGCTTTCTGGGCCATTTTAGGGCACTAATTAATTACACTATTTACTGCTAGGATTATAAGTAAAACTGGACTCTTGACACTCTAACTCATATTTCTTCGATCAAAATCACCACCCAGTTAACATACAAATTAGTTATTTCATGAAATGTTGAGGTAATACTTGTACAATTCAAGTTTCCACTGTGGCAAGTTACCTACTAATCATTTAAAAGACAGATATGGAATATTTATGTATGTTTATGAAAAAATCTATGTTTTTCCTACTATGTAAGAATTTATAATGTATTGTGACAACCATTTTTTTCAGTAGTTTTGGCCAATAAAGGGACATAATAACAGCCAAGTTTGGTTTTAATTGTTTTCTTCCTATTTTATGAAACTTGCTGAACAAAACCTATGTCTTACATTTAAGCGCAAAGATGTCATACCATGTTATAAAATTTAACAGAAATAAAATATTCTTTTTAGATTTACTAATAGCAAACTTTTTGACTTAATAATATAATGTAAACATGAATATTTTTATGATAGTTATAAATTCTGTATTGTAATATATATATATAACCAATTTCTTTTTATTGATTAATACGAAATAACTTACTAGATGTGTATTACACAAGATTAAAAATATTTTTTGAATATATGACATTTAATGTTTCCATTTACAGCAAAAGGTCCTTAATTATTGAAAATAATTTCCACTTTCATTGGATCATGCTTGTCTGTCCAATTTCTTTGGCTCCAATTAAATGATTTCACACATAAAAATAATGTAAGATAAAAGAAAAATGCTTATTCTATGTAATTCTAAACACATAGGTGAAAATTACACATCATTAAGGTAGATGGTGAAAGATTTAAAGTCCACTTCTATAGAGATCATTTTCAATCGTCAACCACTGCATTTTAAAGATGTTTGGATAACTTCAGTTTCAAAAGACATTTTGGATTGGTCAGCTGTTTGACAATCAGTCTGTTAAAAGGAACCACACAATTTTTGTTTAAACCTGAAAGCAGGCAAGGCTATATTTGACTGAACCTACTGGTACTAACATTTTCTCTCTGGCAACAGTCCTCCCCCCTTCCACCACCAAACATTTTTCTCACTGGATTTGTTTGAACAAATTGGTTAGGTGGCCAATTTGACAATAGAAATAGCAACCAATTCTCATCCCTTCATTTTTAGATAATAGTTAAATGAATATCAACCTTCATATCCAGGGAACTGATATAAAATCTACAACTACATGAATCTCTATCAGAAGAATACTCACATGGCATATAATGACATATGCTTGGCCAATATTGTCCTGTGTCTCTTTTCAACCAAATCCTCACAGTCCTAAAAATAAACATCAGTACTACTTTCATAGACAATTTTCGGTTCTAACAAAAACATGTATAACTACCTCAGGCACACAACACATACAATGTACATAACTACCTCAAGCAGACACACACTTGCATAGATAAAGTTCATATGGAAATCATGAAACAGTAACACTGTTATATCATAACAATTGATATTAGACTTTTTTTTAAAGCCATAAGCAAAAAGACTCTGGAACCAAGACTTAAAGTTATTTATTAACATACATAAAGACATACTTTACATATTTATAAATTAAATAAAATATTACAAATGTCAGATACACAGGTTTAGAGCTTGTACAATACAAGAAAACAAATGCAATTCACTTGCAGTGTGTCTAATCTAGTTCGTGAACTAGCCATTAAACACAAAATTCCTATCATCGTCAAATTCTCACAAAAACCCGTCACTAAGCCAAATTAATGATTTAGAATTACACAATACCAATGTCATTTACAAAATAACATGCAACAACTGCCCAGAATTCTACACTGAAGAAAATTGAAAACCAGATTCACAGAACACAATAAAACCCGTCCCATGTTTACTACCATTGCAACTCAAAAAAACCACAGTATATCTATTAAAAATAGTAATTTTAAACAAAGAACCAAACATAAACAAAAAAAAAAAATCAAAGAATCCAACTTAATTTAACAAAACAACCCTACTCTAAACCAACACCCTGGGGTGCCAAGATCTCTCTAAGTAGTGCAACAATATCAAGTCATGTGACCTCTTTGTTCCATACTCTGTGTGTGTGTGTGTTTATATATTTTTGTCAGTGTAAACTACTTGTACTTGATGATGACAAAACCTTGTCAAACATTGTACATTTGCTGTTATGTTAAACTTATATTAAAGTTTTTCTTCATTACCAATTCAAGCAGTCTCCAAGCATTATTAAAGTATATATCCCTGAATATGCAGGACTGATAAATCAACACAAGCATTATTACAGTATATATCCCTGAATATGCAGGACTGATAAATCAACACAAGCATTATTAGAGTATATATATCCCTGAATATGCAGGACTGATAAATCAACACAAGCATTATTAGAGTATATATATCCCTGAATATGCAGGACTGATAAATCAACAAAGGTATTCTGATTTCTCTGCAGTAGCTCTTGTTGATATAAAACTCTTGAAAGATTTTCATTCAAATACACCTTCAAAATTACACTAATGAACCTACTTGTTTTCATGATATGCTACTGTATGCACCAATAATGGTATCTGATTCAACTTCAATGTTACTTTACAATTTTTTGAAGTATAATTTTTTTACTTGTGCAAAAATTTCTTTCTTGAATCTCAATATCAAAAAGTTTTATTCATCGATACAAAGCATATCATAATGTAATACTATGAAGCAATATTAAAAAAATTATGAAAATTATGTTTGTACATTACTTTTGTAAAAGAGTTACAGCAAACATGTACTTGTCTCAAGTTAACCAAAACACTATTTAATTTCATTGGGAAAAACCAACATTTATATATCGGCCTCCTTAGCATGCTTCACTGATACCATTCTGTTCTATGCCATTAAACAAACTATCATTTATTGTTGAGAAACAATTTGAATATGGGTTCATTTATAAATAGTGCACTCCTTCAGCATTTCTCATCCTATTGTTTGAAAACTGATGTCTATTTCAGCCTTTTGGTTTGGTTCTCTCTCCTAAGCAGTGATTTTTGAGCATTTAACATCCAGTGAGGCTGCTTCATGCTAATGTGTATTTTACTGTTCTGGAGATATGTATTTATGTATAGGTCATCAGTATGATCTCTAATGAAATAAAGAGTATATCCTGAGTTACTCAACATCACTTTGGAAGAGTTTGGGCTTTCTACCTCTACAGCCTCCACTGCTTACAGAACTAGTTTCATGTAAGCTCTTCAGCTCTTTGAATTCTAAATCTTTAGAATGTGGCATTTCTGTCCCAGAAACCATGATGCATTAATCACACTACTACCGACAATAGGGCTGCTGGTGTGGCACTGGCTGCTTGGTTGGATGACAGCCAAACATGACCTACACTAATATGTGACCAACTTAGAGCAATTACTTTTCATAATACATACAAGAGGTACAATTCCTTAATATTTACATGATATTCACTATTTCTATAATTATCTCCAATTCCGAATATTTAACCAATACATATATACGTATGTATGTATGTATGTATGTATGTGTATGCGTGTGTGTGTGTATATATATTCAGTTTGGAAATACTTCTATATCATATTAAAGAGTCACAAACATGCAATATACATACTATTATCAAAATACACATGTTGAAAATAATTTCATTAGAACCCTCATACCAAATATATTTGTAGTCTCCATTTATCTGGATATACAAAATGGACCAATAATGTGAAATATACTTGAGCCCTATGACTATAAAGATATAGTCATATGATGTCTGTTTGTAAGAAAATGGGTAAGAGCATTATAGTAGTTACCATCTAGTAGAGGTGCTGTTATCAATTTCTTTGACTATTGGTTGTGATATGGTTGTGAAGTGCAACAACATCAGACCACAAATGATTAAACCAATTCCTTCAAATTTAATCACAAATTCAAAATTCTTCAACTGCACTATCCAAAGGAAATACCATAAAACTATCATATGGCAGCCAACAACTTGTCCAAAAATTGCTCATCTTAAATGTAAACAGACTTTTGAAAAAAAAGTATTGTACTTATAAATTGAAACTTGTACTAACTGTAGCAGAAGAAATAATTTATAACTGTGGAATATCTCACTAAAGTATAAAATAAAACTAAAAGGATGAAATAAATATTTATAATGAAAATAGTTAAAATAATAAAAAATATCATCATAAAGTTAATCTATCAACACCTTGAAAGGTTGTATGACACACACATTCTCATACAGTCAGTAAAATGTTTGAATAGTAAATCTCACATTATTCATTAGACTATGTAGTAAAAATGCATACCTCAATGTTGAAATTAAGACCACAGAGGCTAGTCGTTAGACAAGACATAATCTTAACACTGTAGATCTTGGCAGTTTTTAATTCTTTTGTCCATTATAAATTCAAACATCTCGTTTATTTCTTTTTTGCACAATGTCACATCTCCTGACAGAATATTTTGTTTTCTATAGTTTACAAAACATATCACACTAATTTATTTCCTCTGTTTCAAGCATTCTATTCAACCCATCTTCCTGTAAAACATCTCATATGTAACAAACATTTAATAAAAAATAATATCTACACATAACAGTACTTTAACCATTACATACCATACGGACATGCATTATAGTCTATAGTATATCTTAGAATAGTCTTTAAAAAGTTTTTCATGGCTAGATTCATTGTGATAACTTGGGGTGAAAAGAAAAAAGAGGATGGAAAGGGTATGGTAAGATATTTTGTATTTCACTAAACATTATTCTCTTTTAATTATTAAATGAAATATTTCTTCACTCAATCATTTGAAATACTGTATAATTTTATACATCTTCAAAGAAAAAAAAATCATTAACCAAACTTATTCCTTGACTTAAAAGCTATAAATAGACTCGAAATAAAAAAATTCTTGCCTGTCATCACTGATACTGATCACTCCATCTTCACCTGGGATAATTGCTGCCATGTTCACAGTATCTTGATGCCCCTCCAGCTTATTCAGAAGTTCAGGTTTGTGAGAATTTGTCACATTATCTACAGCCCCTCCAACAGGTTTAATTTCTGCTGCCATTATCTTTACTTGTAGTTGTACAAGCTATAAATTCACTTTCAGAAAACGAATTTGGTAAAAATGTCTCAATGAGGTAAACCTACAAATTGTGTTGCTTACAAATTAATATAATTTACAATAACTTTTTCATATTAAAGACTATGAATTTTTTACATTTGAAAATGTACCTATAAAGGCTATGTTCCTATGCTTATAATGACGTAACTACAGTATACAAATTGTAATTTTTTGTCATTTCAGTAACAAATTAGTAATAATATGTTACGTATCTACCAACAGTTTAAAAATATCAACAAATACTAAGCCTAATAGTAATACTGTTTTCAGTTTGAAAGGAAAATGGGGAGAAGTTAGTTAGCACTAATTTAATAATATTATATATATATAATCATCCTAAAATAACACTATGTATTAGTATTATTATTAATACTAATAGTAATACTTCATCTCATGATAGGAAGATTACAAATACTGAAATAGTATATACAATGTATTATGTAGCCTTACCAACTATACCATCTACTACTAGTACTATTACTACTAATAATAATAATAATACTTTATTAGTGATAATTACTAGACTAGTAGAAATAGAATTTAGCACTGTCATTACATACAGTGTACGGTACAAACGCAAATGTGATACTGTGCACTATTAGTATTACTAAAGCATTTTAAAGTTCAATTTTTAAACTTTAATCATAGTGTCGTAATAAGGTTTTAATTACGAAATACTTTAAAAATCCTGTACTTTAGAATCAAAACTGGAAATGATTTATCTTCACGAAGAAAAGTTAGTTATTACTTACTTTCTTTGCTACTCAAAACTAACACTACCCAAAATAATCAGTTATTACATCACTTGTCACTTGAAAACTAAAACTTCTCAAGCACTGTAACTTATAAATTAACAGTCACATGACCTCACGGTGACGCGAAGACTACTGTTTATAAGTTAAAATTAATGCGCATTTAATTGCGTAAACTAATAAATTAAAACTATGTCGTGAGGATTGGAGCCTTTTGTAAAAGCTCGAGTAACTCTGCTTAATATACTTATCAAATGTTACAAAATACTCTTTCGTAATTCAATAAAATATAAGTAATTTTTCATTTAACTTTATCAAAACGCCCTTATGAGTCATTATCAATATCACATAAGTATCAGCTGAATACCAAAGTAAATGTCTATAATACGCTGTTTAGACACTTGTAAATACGTAATACTTACACTATTTAAGTATTTTGTAAAGTTTCATTTCAAATAAATATACCATTCTATAGAGCTGTTGTTTACCTTTTTTATTTTTTTTTAGTAATGTAAAAGAACAATTAATGACAAGGTATTTATAATGGGAAACATTATTATTGATACTGTTACGTCTCCGTTCGTTAGTTAATTTTCCGTAAAGTCCTTTCTTAAATAAAACTGGTTTATTCTTTCCGAATATAACTTTACGATACACTTAATTTCAATATTCGCGCTAAAACAAACACTATAACGAACGAACGTTAACTTCAACAATACCCTGTGACTGCAGTTCAATTACTCATTATCTTCTTCCGTCACGTTGAGAGCGTCTTATATATATTGTTACGTCTCCGTTTGTTAGTTAACTTTCCATAACTTCGTTCCGACGAAACTTTAGTGACACAAGTCCTTACTTAATAAAACTGGTTTATTCTTTCCGAATATAACTTTACGATACACTTAATTTCAATATTCGCGCTAAAACAAACACTATAACGAACGAACGTTAACTTCAACAATACCCTGTGACTGCAGTTCAATTACTCCCTATCTACACACACACACTATATTCCCGTCACGTTGTCACCCTCTTTTATATACCAGTCTACCCTATATCCAGTAAATGCTAGAGCATTCGCCAAAGTACAGGATAGTTCTAGAAAGTAGAGATCGTGAGAATAGTCACTAGATCACGCAACACTGCCCCCTCCTTAATATTGTTCGTCCCGAACAATAACCACATACAATAAACCAATAACAATTAACAATAACTTAATTAACTGAAAA